TTTTTTTTTTGTTTTTTTTTTGACTAAAATAGAGAGGTGGTATTGGTGGATGTATTTTTCTTGACATTAATGTTTCATTGTCATAGCTCTGTAAGTTTTATGTGTTTTGCCAGAGTCATTGCACAATAGTGGTCTTTGTATGTTTGATTCTGTATTGTTACCATTAAGCTAAACCTGGCAGAACTCCATTGCATCTTTGTCAATAAAAATACTTTCTTGGTATCGTTCATTACTTGGATGTCAGTGTTACCTGACTCACGTGCCTTCCTAAAATACTTGGTTTTACCTTTCTCATTAGAGATTTATCATTAGATTAGATATATTGCAAGTAAAGTAAATGACTGATTGGGACTCCTCTGTTTTTATTGAATCAATTTGTGCAATGATTATCAATATACTTCTTTATAGGTTTTTGTAGTTAATTCAGGTGTAAACTACTACACCAACCTTAACACATTTTTTAGCATATTGTTTTGGTTTTTAATTTTTCTTTTGTTTACTTTGTCTTATTTGGATGCAATTTTCCAAACTTCAGATGGAAGAAATTGTCATTGTAAGAAATTAATGACTGAAATTACCAATCGGAAGGTTGGAGTATGGTGTATGTATTGCCAGACTTAAGTTGGTCAAATTACACGGATATGTTAATTATCTGAGATGCTGTTTCACATTTATTAGTCAGCTACCTAGTAGATGTGAAATTGCCACACTATGTATTACATTAATACGCCACAAAGGCTCAGATGTGATTAAATGGACTTCCTGCATACTTGCAGCCAACCAAGGATAAAGAAAGATATTCAGAAACAGCAGATGGCTACCAGCCATCATTTAATGACCTTGTTTTAGTTGCAGAGACACTGGGGGAAAACCCCAATTTAATGTATGCACCTGAGAGTTTAATGAATTTCCACAGAAACACCTACAGACAACCAGTTCCTCGCAGGATGTTTACTAGTCATGTTACAAGACAACTGTTCAGGCTCATAAGAATAACTGAAGAGACAAATGAAGGCTCAAGACAATATTTGTAATCTGAACCAAGGGACCAAGTACCTTAATAGCTGCCAGTTACTGGCAGAACAAACAATATAGGAATATAGAAATTGAAAAGAAAATACAGAATACCTTTGTGGAGCAGTGGCTCCAATCCTATCACTTTTGACCCCTCAAAGTCATAAACCTGCTTGCAAACCGCTATTTGTAATGTCTTTGTGTGGGCATGAGCTGTGCAGACTACCTCGCCTCCTCAACCTTCAAGCCGGTGGAACCACTTTACCAGTGTATGGGTTTCGAGGTAGAGAAATCAATAATTTAGATTTGTTCATTTCTTCTCTCACTTTTGAATAATTGTGACTCTGACACAATTACATCTTTAGCACCCATTAGACAAATTAGAGAAAAGAACAAACAACTTGTCATATTACAGCCTCTGCCCCAGCTGAACTGAGGTTAGCCATGACCTCATAAGTCCATTAGCGTAATATGCTGTGGAGCTGGCATCTCACTAAAGAGAGAATTACCATATTTCTCTTATAAATACAGAATATAGATTTTTCTATTAAAAGTCCACAGCTTCACTAGCAGCTTTGAGTCCTTTGTAAGGCATATTTTGAGCTCAGTGTTACAAGTGACATTGAGCAAACTTAAATTTTAACCTAATGGTGAAGCTATATCAAGATCTGAAAGGTTATTGGGCTTTACAGTGAAAAGTTCGGTCTCATTAAATGATAATCAATACAACAGGAGTCGAGCGCATGACCTGCTGATGGCAAAAAAGCAAAAAGTGTAAAAATATCTGTTACAGAAAAAAATGAAACACTAAACTGACCTATTTCCCCATTTTATTTCACAGAGCCAACACAAAATAAAATACTAGCATCTTATAGTTCTGAAAGATTCATCTTCACAAAAAATGTGCAAAAATACTTTTCATACCAGCGTGTTTTATGATTTTTGTGCCTTACAGTAATGCCACCACCGATCCAACCTGCTCACAGTTATTTGTTGCTTTTACAGTCATGTGACTTCACATAGATAGGCACCAAATGTCCACAGTTTAACCGCAACACTTTTTCTTGTCCTTGGTTGCTGTTCTTGGCTGAGGCATGTTGGCTCGCTGTAACTGTAGCGCCTGTGGGACAGTGCACTTGACTCCATCCCAGCCCTCTTGCAGCTCTATCTCTCCACTCAATAGTCCCTGGTAGATTCGTCGAGTGAGGAGCTCGAAGCACTCCTTTACATGTTGCCCAGACTTTGCAGATGCCTCCACGTAGGGCGTTCCTAGCTGCTGGGCCAGCTTCTCTGCCTCTTCTCGGCTCACCGCCCTTTCCCTGTGAGCATCTCGATCATTCTTTTGACCCACCAGGATGAACAGAACCTTATGTGGCTGTACTCGCTCGCACACCTCAGCATGCCAGTCTTTAATATGGTCAAAGGAGGCTCGATGGGTGATGTCAAACACTAGCATGCCTCCAACTGAGTTGCGGTAATAGGAGCGGGTCACTGATCTGAGGAAAGAAGTGAGACAAAGGGGTAAAAAATCTTGAGAGATAGAAAAACCCACACTGGCAAACAGAATCAACATTTATGTCCTGTTCTAATGAGCAGTTAACAGCTGCTGTGTATAACTTCAGCTCTTTTGGACAAGCATTCATACAAACAGTTCCCCCTGATTTATTGAACCAAAGGTCATCTAAACTGTCAGGTGGTGAAAACTTCATCTAAACAGGTATTTCTGAAAACAGGACAAGCCTTTGGTTCACTTAATGGGATTATAGATCCCATCCAGAGTGAAGTTAAATGCAAACAGGCGTAGTTTGCAATTTGTTTCAGTTCATTCAGCTGGAGAACTGGAAAATAAAGGATTTGGAGACAGAATGAAGCATGCTTCTCCTAGTTCTTTCATTAAATACGCTGAGCCTGGAAAATATTACATTTAAAAGAGCTCAATCTTCCATTTAGAAGTATTGCACAAACTGCACTTCTGTACACAGTACACACCTATCTTGTGGCACTGACAGGGTGGATACACAATCATAGCTGAAAGTAAACAAAGCAAAACAACTTTATTGTGAACGGAATAGGCCCTAGTTCAGTTGTCGCACACAACTAAAGTGTCTCTAATTTTCATTTTTTGAACAGGGTCCTTGTAATGTGGCCTAATGCATTAAAAACGACATAAATGTTACCTGGATTCCAACATAAAGCTCATATCATTGTAGACTGCATATATCTTATTCAAAGATCATCCATACCTGAACCTTTCCTGTCCTGCTGTGTCCCAGAACTGCAGCTTTACACGGATCCCCGGTTCCACCTCCAGGAAGTGAACGTAGAAGTCAACACCTACTGTCTCGTTGATGGACTCCATAAACAAGTCCTCTGTGTAGCGTTTCAGTAGGGAGGACTTTCCCACAGCTGAATCGCCCAGCATGATGATCCTGAACTGGTACTGCCACAAAGTCAGGTCCATTGTTGCTGGCAGTTACAAGAGATTAAGACAGGAATGACAGCTTTTGGAGATATGAAGGTGTGCACAAGCTCTGGGAAAGAGAAAAACAGATTGTCATAAAGATTAGAAAAGGTTAAAAGCAAATATAGTGAGAGATTACTGAGACTGAAGAGAAAGAAAGAGACATAACTTCATGGAGACTATCTACCACACAAACTCAACACCAGTTGCTTTCTTACCTCTGACAATCCAAATGTTGAGAAACAGGCATTAAGCCACTCCTTATTAATCTCACTACCAATGCAGCAGCAGTGTTCACAGCCATCCCAAGCTTCTTTCCTTTTGTGACTGCAGTACAGCTCTCATTCTCATTCCCATGGTGGCTCTTCAAATCCTCTACGAGGGCAGGTATGTAGAAAAATCTGCCCCACAAAGTGGATCCATTTGAGCTGCTGATCTTAACTAGTACAGTAAGCTTGTACACAAGTGTGGCTTTGCAGGGGCGTGTACTTCTAAAGGTTGCTTGTTGATACTTGACTAAAGGAGGGGCAAGAGCACAAGGACAAAGGGAGGGCCAGATGTGGGAAAGGGGGAAGTTTAAGGAAGTAGTGGCTGCATAAAAAAACTTATCAGGGGAAACTGTGCAGTTTCCTGTAGTTGAGAGCCAGTAGGGACGTCATCATCACCAAACATACAAAATGAGGGTGACTGTTGGCAACTCTAACAGTTGCCACACTATTTGCAACAGTTTTTATCACTTTATGATCTCATATGTGCAGCGAAGATCTGAAAAGGGAAGTTGATAACAATGTCGGTTTTTATCCTCTGGGAAAGCCAAACTGGTCTCACAGCTATATGTAAAGTGACTGTGACCTCTTAACATTATGCAGTGATGGAACGGGTTCAAGTTACATGAAGGGACCATGGAGAGCAACAAGCTTCCTCTCCACTGTCCTGGTTAGTAGGATAAAGAGTCCATCCTTAGGCAGTTATGACACCAGCATATTTATGAAAAGTCATTCACACATACTTACAGCTTGTAGGTGTAATATTCTCCAGGCCCCCCCCCCCAAAAAAAAAATACAAATAAACAGACGTGCTGCATAACACATGCATCTAAATTTAATAAATAAAAGGCATTTCAGTGCATTTGGGTCACACAATGGTAACAAAATGGGATCTCATGTTACTTAGTAGACTGAAAGTGCAAGAGGGACATTTGATAGTTATAACCTACTAGATGCTTTTACTGATGCTTCAAGCTCCATTTGAGATCGTAGTTTTAGTTTTATTCTGTTGTTGTCGCAAAGGTTGCTTAAATTTCCCCAGCTGTCAGATGATTGTGCATCAGCATATTTCAATTTAAACAGTTCTTAGTCAGAAATAGCAGTAAAGGGCAATCATGTTTCCTGGTCATAGGCAAAAGTTGTGCAACATGAACTGGTCAGTTCAGTTTTAGGGCTTCACAAACTAATGGCGTTCCAAAGTGAGCGAGTCTTCAAATG